GCTCCAGACCTGAGGCTCCAGACTTGAGGCTCCAGACTTGAGGCTCCAGACCTGAGGCTCCAGACCTGAGGCCCCAGACCTGAGGCTCCAGACCTGAGGCTCCAGACCTGAGGCTCCAGACTTGAGGCTCCAGACCTGAGGCTCCAGACCTGAGGCTCCAGACCTGAGGTTCAGACGCAGGAGACACAGCCAACCACATTCACTTTATCAACATTTGTGGACCAATGGCTCTATGTGTTTTACTGTGTTTAAACGGTTTGATTCTCTGATCTGTGTTGGCGAATCGACAGCTTGAAGTTTGATTTATCTAGGACAATGTGCAGCTGCAGAGTTAGAACCTGCTCCTTTCCACCTGTGGACCTTCACAATACAATCATAAAAACGTATACTTAAACTTAAAAAATATATCGTTCAATTAAAATTGCAAGTTACTAAATAAAACATTAAATTATAAGTGCAAATTAGTAAAATACAGCTTTGTAAAGTCCTCCGGGATGACTGCTGTTGTGATTTAGGGCGATACAAAAAAATTGAGTTGAATTGACAACATCAAACACACTCATGGGACCTGCCTCCTGCACAGAGAGGAGCAGGAAATGCAGTGTTCACACGAAAGATACAGATCAGCCTCAGTCCTGGGTCTACAGCCTCAGTCCTGGGTCTACGGCCTCAGTCCTGGGTCTACAGCCTCAGTCCTGGATCTACAGCCTCAGTCCTGGGTCTACAGCCTCAATCCTGGGTCTACAGCCTCAGTCCTGGGTCTACAGCCTCAGTCCTGGGTCTACAGCCTCAGTCCTGGGTCTACAGCCTCAGTCCTGGATCTACAGCCTCAGTCCTGGATCTACAGCCTCAGTCCTGGGTCTACGGCCTCAGTCCTGGGTCTACGGCCTCAGTCCTGGATCTACGGCCTCAGTCCTGGATCTACAGCCTCAGTCCTGGGTCTACGGTCTCAGTCCTGGGTCTACAGCCTCAGTCCTGGGTCTACAGCCTCAGTCCTGGGTCTACGGTCTCAGTCCTGGATCTACAGCCTCAGTCCTGGATCTACAGCCTCAGTCCTGGGTCTACGGCCTCAGTCCTGGGTCTACAGCCTCAGTCCTGGGTCTACAGCCTGTTGTTTCTCACTTTATTTGGTCCCTCTCTGATGCAGGAAGAGCTAAGGACATGTATCATGTGATAATATTTCTGCACAGTGGTCCTCCCGCCCCTGAGCTATTGTTGGTGTGTTGACAACTTTGTAAAGTCCTTCGAGACAACTGCTGTGATTTAAGTAACTAAAACTCATTTCCTCATTCACAAAATACAAAAACCTGATTTTCGGTCCAGTCACAACAATAAATCACTTTGATCACACACCAGCAGGTGTGTGTGTGTGTGTGTGTGTGTGTCTTTGTCAGTGTGTGGGTGTGTCTTTGCCTCTGTGTGTGTGTGTGTGTGTCTTTGCCTGTGTTTGTGTGTGTCTTTGCCTGTGTGTGTGTGTGTGTGTCTTTGCCTCCGTGTGTGTGTGTGTGTGTCTTTGCCTCTGTGTGTGTGTGTGTGTGTCTTTGCCTCTGTGTGTGTGTGTGTGTGTATCTTTGCCTCTGTGTGTGTGTGTGTGTGTCTTTGCCTGTGTGTGTGTCTTTGCCTCTGTGTGTGTGTGTGTCTTTGCCTGTGTGTGTGTGCGTGTCTTTGCCTCTGTGTGTGTGCGTGTGTGTCTTTGCCTGTGTGTGTGTCTTTGTCAGTGTGTGTGTGTGTCTTTGCCTCTGTGTGTGTGTGTGTCTTTGCCTGTGTGTGTCTGTGTGTCTTTGCCTCTGTGTGTGTGCGTGTGTGTCTTTGCCTGTGTGTGTGTCTTTGTCAGTGTGTGTGTGTGTCTTTGCCTCTGTGCACTTGTTTTCAACTCCTGGTGGGTTCCATAACCTGAGATTCCACTCACGTCATGGGGACTGGTTTTACGTGGTGTGGCCCGAACACCGGACCCCACTGGTCCAAGCTTAATAATCAATGGGTAATGCTTTTCTAACGGTCCTTATGCAGTCTCTGTAAAAATATGGAAAGGACCCCTGGAGGTTTACTTTCCTGAAAAAAGTGTGTTATGTGTCGGAACCCTGGTGGTGGGTTGCGGGATATCAAGGAGGGGCACACTGGGGCAATTTCAGTCCAGCAGGCTGGAGCCAATCATGGAGCAGCACAACAGAGGCTGGAGCCAATCATGGAGCAGCACAACAGAGGCTGGAGCCAATCATGGAGCAGCACAACAGAGGAAATCAGGTGTCAGGCTAGAAAAGGTGCAAGTGTGTGGTTCATTAGGCTGCAGCAAATCATGGAGGAGCACACTGAAGCGCACGCTTACAAACCACTGGTAAGTGCTGACTACAAGTCATGACTTCAAATTGTTATATAGAATGATTACAAATTATTTGTTGTTTGTGCAGCTTAGTCAAGAGTCCCTAATTGATGAAGTCGACTCAGATTCTGACGATTTAACTGTCAAGAAGAAACCTGTAAAAAAGTATGGAAAAAGAAAAATCAAAAACACTTTTCTTCAAGACTCGGAAAGTGACGAACCAAAGGCAAATAAGATTGTTATCATGCAGCTGCAAAAGAAGAAAAATGGGGGGCGAGTTTATAGCAAGAGACACTTCTGCCTCTACTGTTCAATGTCCTGCCACAAAATGTCCCGTCATTTGACTAGAAAACATGGAAATGAAAGTGACGTAGCCAGAGCATTGGCTCTACCTGTGAAATCTAAAGCACGTAAACTTCAGTTTGATTTGATCAGGAATAGTGGAAACCGTGAGCACAATGTTGAGGTTTTAAAGGCCGGCATTGGAACTTTAGTCCCAGCTAAACAGCCAAATTCCCCAGTTAAATCCAGTGAGTTTTTGCACTGTATAGACTGTGGGGCATTGCTTAAAGCTGCACTAACTGACTTTATTTTTGTATTCATTACGAAAATGCTATCCATGTCCATGTAGTGCATTGGGATATACATCATTTTGAAGAAAAAGTAGCGCAGATTTGTGCTGGCGTGACATTATATTTTAGATCGAGTTTTGATGAAACAAGGAAGAGAATGTGTTTCGGGTCGCGGATTGTGACCAATCGCAGCGGACCACTAGCCCCCACTTTCGTGAGAAATCTACAGGTCTCCGTTAGCATAGACGGCTGAGTTAGCACAACAAGACGAGGAGCTAACCTGAAACTTCGTGTGTCTTCGTCATCGGTTACTGCTTACACAGCGAGACATCCATCCAAAAGAAAGTCTCGTTCCTCCGCTCTTCCCGGTTCTATCGTTCTATGGTCACGCCATCCACGTGCAAATCCATATTCGTGTATTATCCATATTGGGAGACGCTAACTCCGTCCCAACAGTGAGTGTGTGTGGGGGGCGATAGCTTCGTGGGTGCGGGGAGGGGAGCAGAAAGAGAGAGGCCAGCGAGTCCGCGGCTTCAAAATCCCAAAGTCAGTTAGTGCAGCTTTAAGCGAAAGTCGCTGTGGAGGCATGTGGCCAGGTGCCGGCTTTCACAGAAAGATGCCCAGGCTAAACCAGGCTAAACCAGGTAGAAGTAGGGTCCAGTCCCTCTGCTCCCTAGCCCAGCCTGTACCGGAGGGCATCAGCAAAAAGCTGTGGTCTTTAATTTGGGCAATGCATCAGGATGAGGTCACGGGTGTTGTCAAAGCAGAAAAGGGGATTCTGAGACTCGGAGAGCACCTGTACTTAAAACACGGGCATGATAAGACTAAGCATGATTACATTAGGCAGAAAATGAGAGAAGTCGGTAGGTTAATTAACGAAGCAAAAACCGCAGGGAAACTGAAAACAATGAAGGATTTCTTTATTCCTTCCAACTTTAACCATGTGATTGATGCAGTCAGGTCTGTGGCTGGATATGATGAGGAAACAAATCAATACAAGACTCCATCCTTGGCCCTCAAACTCGGCCATAGCCTCAGAAAGCTAGCAGATATTCTTGAATGTGACTCAAAAATGGAGCATTGTGTTGATGAACTATTTATTAAAAACCTCCAACGAAGCCGGCTGCTTTTTGAGAAGAGGTGGGACGTCTGTGTTTCTTCTGCTGCCCTACAGACCCTCCGGCAAGCCAAGTGGAACACTCCGGACCTGCTCCCTCTGACTGAGGACGTTAGAGCCATGCATGCACATATTGAGGTATGTCGACCTGAATATGTGCAAACCCTAATAAGTGAGCCAACGTCTAAGCATTGGTCTAAACTGGCAGTTTTGACTCTTTGTGAGGTCATCATTTTCAATCGAAGAAGGGAAGGTGAGGTTTCAAAGATGCCACTGACAGCCTTTACCTTAAGAAGTAAGACTGGGATCCATTCTGACATTGCTCTGGGACTGTCCCAACTTGAGAAAAAGCTGTGTCAGCATTTTCAACGCATTGAAATTAAAGGGAAAAGAAGTCGGAAAGTGCCGGTTCTTTTGACTCCTGAAATGATTGCTTGGATGGAGGTGCTGGTGGAGAACAGAAGGGCCTGTTCCATCTCTGACCATAACCCATACTTCTTTTCCCGCCCGGGCGCAGACACCCACATCAGGGGATCAGACTCCCTACGCCAGGTAGCCAAAGAATGTGGTGCGGTGCATCCAGAGATGCTATCCTCAACCAAACTTAGAAAGCACATAGCTACTATGTCTACAGTTCTCAATATGAAAGAGAATGAGATGGACATACTTGCCAACTTCCTCGGCCATGACATTCGCATCCACAGGCAATATTACAGACTACCAGAGGGGACACTGGAGCTGGCCAAAATCAGCAAAGTGTTGATGGCCATGGAGCAGGGAAGAGTGACGGAATTCGAAGGAAAGAGCCTCGACCAGATACAAATTGAGCCTGAAGGTAATTCTTGATATTATTAAAATATGTATGATTTTTTTCCCCTAAAGGCCACTTGTATTTTTATTTTCTGTGCGACAGGGAGAGCAGTAGAGATCCTCTCACAAACGGACGGGCTAAAAGAAACTTCAAGCGGAGAACCTTCAACCATTCATCCAGATGCACCCCATGGTAGTGGCAGTGCCCCTTCTGGTAAGTGTACCAGGTGGGGGATTACAGCCAGGCTGCTTGGTCCTAACCCTGGGAGTGTATATTGCTAATATATTTTTATTTCTCTCCCTAGAACGTTAGAGAAAGCCATGGTCTGCATCTGAGGTGAAGGCTGTGGAGAAGACCATGACACCTTTCATACAGACTGGAAAGGTCCCTGGGAAGTCTCACTGCCTGGCCTGCATTAATGCCTCACCAGATGACCTTAGACATCGGACATGGAGTGGCATTAAATTCTATGTCAAAAATAGAATCACTGCAATTCGAAAAAAAAAATCTAAAATAAAATTCCTTTAAAAGAGTTGTTTGTTTTCTATTGACTGTTTTGTATTACTTAAAGTAGTCCCAGTAAAAAAAGATTATGTCTATGGGTCCCATTCTGACAAAGGGACCCACCAGGTAACAAAAACGTGTATGTGTGTGTGTGTGTGTGTGTCTTTGCCTCTGTGTGTGTGTGTGTGTCTTTGCGGGGGTCGGATTGAATCTCTGGCTGCATCAAAGTGCTCCACCATCAAAAGACCAGCAGGATCAGATGACCTCAGACACACCAATCATCCACACAGTCGCCGCGGCAACGGGGGTCGGCGATCCCATCACCACCGCGGCCCGAGACCCGACCTTCAGAGCTGACCCGGCCGCTTCACCCGCCGCTTCACCCGCCGCGGCCCAGGACGTCTTCAAACACAAGTGCAACAGGAAAACTCTGAGACGGACGCGATCGACTCGGTCTGGGTTTGCACCGTCGACTCTGACTATTATCGGACGTTTCATTTTCATCCCGTTATTTTTCCATTTCTGGGTCAGAGTTGCACCCATTTCACAAAGCACCGGTCCCTCGCTGATCCTCCTGCAGGTGGTGGGTCTGTTGTGGGGTTAAGTGTCTTGCCCAGGGACACAACGACAGCAGACGTCAGTGGGAGCAGATGAGGTGGGTCGTGGGGGGATCGAACCCATGACCAGAGACCAATGCTTTACCAACAGAGCCACTGTCGCCCCTGGTCGTGGTGACGCCCATCTCTGCCACTGAAACTCATGTATGATCACTTTTCCCTCCTGCCGCTTTTTTCAAAATGGCCGCGAGTAGCCCCTCCCACAGGAAAATGTGAAAAAAATATATTTGCGCAGGCGTTAGCTGCACGAGCCCTATTCGAGTGCATTCAAAAGTCCACAGTGGCGAAACTAGACCGGTCCAAACAAAATACTCCCCTCAGCATCAACAGCATCTGGAACGTAGCGTTGATCTACTCTACTCTACTCTATACTATACTCTATTCTACTCTACCATACTCTACTCTACTCTACTCTACTCTACCATACACTACCCTACCATACTCTACTCTACTCTATACTCTACCATACTCTACTCTACTCTACTCTACTCTACCATACACTACCCTACCATACTCTACTCTACTCTATACTATACTCTACTCTACTCTACTCTATACTCTACCATACTCTACTCTACTCTACTCTACTCTATACTCTACCATACTCTACCCTACCATACTCTACTCTATACTCTACTCTACTCTATACTCTACCATACTCTACTCTACTCTACTCTATGCTCTACTCTATATTCTACTATACTCTACTCTACCATACTCTACTCTACTCTACTCTACTCTATACTCTACCATACCCTACTCTACCCTATCATACTCTACTCTATACTCTACTCTATACTCTACTATACTCTACTCTATACTTTACCATACTCTACTCTACTCTATACTATACTCTATTCTACTCTACTCTACTCTATACTCTACTCTACTCTACTCTACCCTACTCTATACTCTACTCTACTATACTCTACTCTACCATACCCTTCTCTACTACCTGGCCCGAGGGGGTGGCGCCCCAGCCCGGCCCGGCCCGATATTGTTTCTGAATTTTCAGGCCCAAAACCCGCATCAAGCCCGACTTTTTTTTTTTTTTTTTTAACCTCCCATAACAATGTTTTAGCGTAGTATATAGTGCCGTGCACTGATATGAACGCAGACTTAGCTAGAGGGCGGAGTTATACATGGTAGTGATGTGTTGCAATGAGTTCTGTGTGTGTGGAGTGGTGCAGAGTGAACGGCCACATCTGTATGATACACAGCTGTATGATACACAGCTGTATGATACACAGCTGTATGATACACAGCTGTATGATACACAGCTGTATGATACACAGCTGTATGATACACAGCTGTATGATATACAGCTGTATGATGCCCAGATGCTGCAACACACCTGTAAGTAACGCTATGTGCCGTCAATGACAACACTACACAGAACAACAAACACTACAGCGTGGTAGAACGCTATATTCAGTGGGTGCGTTCGTAAATGTATTCTGCCGCTCTGAAAATGAAGAGCCCGAGCCCGGCTCGTGTCCGAGGTCATTATGCGGTCATCGGCCCAAAGCCCGGCCCTCGGGCTGTCGGGCCGTCGGGGCCCTCGGGGCCCTCGGGCCAAGGGCTCAAGTGCAGGGCTCTACAGCTCGGCCTGGACAGAACCAGGACCAGGACCACATGTTGAAGCGGCCTGGTCATCAGGTGTTTTTGGTCTGTTGTCTCCATGGTAACGGGTCTCTGGTGCTGATGGCCGCCCGGCTTCCACGGACACGCCGCCGTTAGCGAGGTGTGCGGCCGCATCTCATCGCGGCACCGGAACCACCACAAATCAGCCGCAGACGAGAGCATCAGCCTGATTACCAACCAACACTTATGTGTGTGTTACCAATGAGTTAAAGCTGAGGTACGTAACTTTCAGACCTTTAGTTCCTGGCTCTAAAACACATCATGTATATCTTTACATCAGCTTTTTCAGACAGAAAAGTGACAAAGAGGGGACCAGAGAAAGAGACCAGAGAGAGAGAGAGAGAAAGACTAGAGAGAGAGAGAGAGAGAGAGACCAGAGAGAGAGAGAGAGTGAGACCAGAGAAAGAGAGAGAGAGAGATCAGACACTGTAAACCCTTTACTAAGTAAACTCAAGCGATTGCGATAAAGTTTAAATTTGAACTCATGCCTCAACCGGGATTCGTACTCAGAACCCTGCAGTTGAGAGGTGATGGTGATGGTGAGAGACCAGACAGAGACCAGAGAGAGAGAGAGAGAGAGAGAGAGAGAGAGAGAGAAAGAGAGAGAGAAAGAGAGCAGAGAGAAACCTGAGAGACCAGAGAGAGACCAGAGAGAAACCAGGCAGAGACCTACTCTACCATAGTCTACTCTATTCTAATCTACCTTAAAAACATAAACAAACTTAACCGGACAGTCGGTAGGTTTTACTCCCATCTTTGGAGCAACTGAGGTTCCCCAGGTTCAGAGCTTCACGACAGGGTGTGGGTTGGAGCTGGAGTTGGCTGGATGACACTGTGTTAGCGTCAGAGGGCCCCATGAGCCACACAGATCAGTGCGACGGGAGCAGGAGTGTGCGTGGCGTGTGAAGATGAAGTGATTTGTGGCGGAGGAGCAGATCTGGGAACCATTAAAGCAGTGAAATGAGACGTCACAGTCGCGGACGGCGGGACGTGCCTCTCTCTGCGGACGCCTCCTCATCTGGAGCTGAGGACCAGGGGAAGGGCAACAAGTCTAACACTGCAGATATATACAGAGAGATTTATCACAGTCTGGACGATACATGCAGGTGTAGAAGCAGTTTACAGCCAGGGACTTATTTGTCTTCTATCTTTGAACCTTTCTGGTCAGTTTTCGGTCTGTCTCTCCGGTCTCACTATAGTCTCTCATTCTTGTCTTTCTGGTCTCTCGCTAGTCTCTCATTCTTGTCTTTCTGGTCTCTCTCTAGTCTCTTTCTGGTCTCTCTCTATTAGGTTACTCTCTCTAGTCTCTCTCTCTGGTCTCTCTCTCTGGTCTCTTTCTGGTCTCTCTCTGGTCTTTCTCTGGTCTTTCTCTGGTCTCTCTCTGGTCTCTCTCTGGTCTCTCTCTAGTCTCTCTCTGGTCTTTCTCTAGTCTCTCTCTGGTCTCTCTCTCTGGTCTCTCTCTGGTCTTTCTCTGGTCTTTCTCTTGTCTCTCTCACTGGTCTTTCTCTGGTCTTTCTCTGTTCTCTCTCTGGTCTCTCTCTAGTCTCTCTCTGGTCTCTCTCTGGTCTCTCTCTCTGGTCTCTCTCTTGTCTCTCTTTGGTCTCTCTCACTGGTCTCTCTCTGGTCTTTCTCTGGTCTCTCTCTGGTCTCTCTCACTGGTCTCTCTCTGGTCTCTCTCTCTGGTCTCTCTCTTGTCTCTCTTTGGTCTCTCTCTCGGATCACTCTCTGGTCTTCCTCTAGTGTCCCTCTAGTCTCTCTTTGGTCTCTCTCTCAGGTCTCTCTTTCTTGTCTCTCACTCTCTCTCTGTGGTCTCTTTCTGTTCTCTCTCTCTCTGCTCACCCCTGGTCTCTTTCTCTCTGGGCTCTCTCTCTGTTCACCCCTGGTCTCTCTCTCTCTGGGCTCTCTCTCTGTTCACCCCCTGGTCTCTCTCTCGATTGTCTTTCTCTCTAATCTCTCTATAATATCGTGATCCATCGTAAATAAACCATTTTGTATGATTGCTGCTTCCTCCTGCTCTTTCTTGGGGAGAGCAGGAGAGAGTTCTTGGATCTCTCTCACTCTCTCACACATCTGGCTCTTAGAAGTGTCTCCGCACACATGGATCCATTAGTTCCAGCACCAGGTGGAGTCCCAAGCCGGCCCCGCGGGGCCCCTAACCACCCAGGCTCCAGAACACACAGTTCAAGAGAGACGTCTTTATGGCAGGTGATCCCGAAAGGACGGAGCACGAAAGCTACTTCAAAGTCTGCTGCTACGACCACAGACTGTTCCAGGACCATGAACCATGCTAACCTGCTATGCTAACCTGCTAGCTGCTCTTTCAGATCATTTACTCATGGTTTTTCAGAGGATGTGTGTGTATACTGACATGTGTCTTTGATTGTGTCACAACATTCTGTTAATGGTGCTGGTCACTCTTTCTGGTCTCTCTGGTGTCTCTCTTTGGTCTCTCTGTCTGGTCTCTCTGGTGTCTCTCTCTGATCTCTCCCTCTGGTCTCTCTGATGTCTCTCTTCGGTCTCTCTGTCTGGTCTCTCCCTCTGGTCCATCTGGTCTTTCTCTCTGCATTTTATGAAATTCCCCTACCCTGATTTTTAGTCTTTCCTCTGGTCCTGTGTAACCAGTCCCAGGTCCTTCTTTAGTCCCTCTTGGTCCTGGTTCTATCCAGGCCGAGCTGGTACTAAAGTCTTCTAACTGATCTGGGTGGGTTGCTAGGATATGGGACCAGATACTAAAGCTTAATGGAAAAGCAAGGTAGAGTAGAATAGAATAAAGAAGAGTAGAGTAGGGTAGGGTAGAGTAGAGTAGAGTAGGGTAGAGTAGAGTAGAGTAGGGTAGAGTAGAGTAGAGTAGAGTAGGGTAGAGTAGGGTAGAGTAGAGTAGGGTAGAGTAGAGTAGGGTAGAGTAGAGTAGAGTAGGGTAGAGTAGAGTAGAGTAGAGTAGAGTAGGGTAGAGTAGAGTAGAGTAGAGTAGAGTAGAGTAGGGTAGAGTAGAGTAGGGTAGAGTAGAGTAGAGTAGAGTAGGGTATAGTAGAGTAGAGCAGAGTAGGGTAGAGTAGGGTAGAGTAGGGTAGAGTAGAGTAGAGTAGAGTAGAGTAGAGTAGGGTAGAGTAGAGTAGAGTAGAGTAGAGTAGGGTAGAGTAGAGTAGAGTAGAGTAGTTTGAGCTCCTCCACATGCAGCTTGGATGTACTACCCACTAGATTTCTGAAGTCTGTTCTGAGCAGTCTGTTACCTTCACTCACACAGATAGTAAACATGTCCCTTCATTCTGGAATATTCCCAAAGGCCCTGAAAACTGCAGTCATCAGGCCCCTGCTAAAAAAGAGCAGTCTCGATGCTACGGTA